GATAGATAGATAGATAGATAGATAGATAGATAGATAGATAGATAGATAGATAGATTTGTGTAGTGCCAATTCCCAACTCAACAGCAAGCTCTATGCGCTTTACAATCTATACTATTACCCCAGCAGACCTGAGAGCATTCTGAAACAACCTCAACTTCCAGGGAAGCACACAGTGCAAGCCGTCATTTATAGACGCTAAAACACTAACACACTGACAAGATCTTTCGCTGTCTATGGCTGGATACCCATTCCCTCCTGGGTGAAGTGAGAAAATTCGTGTAAAGTGCCTTTCCTAGGCACACAACGTCGGGCCCGCGGCTCGAACCCCGAACCCGCAACTTCACGATAACGAGCCCGGTAGCCTAACCACTAGACCACCGACGCCACAATAGAGATGTGACGTCAGTCCAAACTTGTACTGTGCTGTCAGTTTTCGAATGTTTGTTCTCGTGTGTGTCTGTGAGCTGATGAGAACCGGCGTCTGTGGTGTAGCGGTTAGGCACTTCGCTGTCGCACGCAGGAGACCCGAGGTCGTTTCTCGAGTGGTTGAAATTCTTTCATAGATCGAATACATATCTCGGTCTTTCTTTTTGAATGTTGCATCCCTCTCAATAAAGGTTGACCGTAACAGGCAGGGTCGGAAACCCGCCTCCAAAAAGATCAAAATTGTATCGGTGGGAGTGTAAAACATCCCACCTATATATTTTTTTTTTAATGAGTAAACAAAAAGGCCTGCTAGAACAATTATGATTACGAAGTGCAGAAAGAAGCATACAGAAAAAAGTCTGAATGGGCTCTTGTTGTTATCAATAGATGGATATTGAGATAAAGATTACACGGTGGACGCCGCTTTGAGAAGATGTGTTGCAAACATCACACACATACACGACATATAACACACGTACGTACACGCACATACACACACACAGACATTACTAGAACAACAACAACAACAACGTCAGCAATAACAACGACAACAACAACAACAACAACAACAACAGTGTCAACAGCAGCGTCAACAACAGCGCGAACAGCAACAATAACAACAACAACAACAATAATGTCAGCAATAACAACAACAACAACAACACCCCTAAAGACGTCGCTCTCGTTCACCAAAAACCTGTGACAAACAACCAATGGAAACATACAGTCCCTGAACACAACACAAAGTAGCAAAGAATGCATGACGTCATCACACCACACTTCTCATACCGGTGCCTGCTCGTCCACCTAAGTTATATTCTGTACCTCTGTTTATCATCAGAGTAGATATTTGTAGTTTAAAGAATAGAAGGAAAGTGCTCGGAGAAAAGTCATGTGTTCATGGAGTAACCAATATTTAGTGTCACTGACCACAGACATTACATACTGCAACTCTGAGAATTCACCATATTTTGCCAAATTAGAGTGGTACAACTCGAGGAGTGTCTCAGCCATCAATTGAAGCCTGAAAGGCCCAAACTATGTTGATAATATATCTATAATACATTATGCCGAAGGCAAGCTGTTCAAATGCACTAAACCAGAACCGCAAAAAGTTCCAAGAGGGAAAAAATCATTCATTCTATTGATCTTGCAATATGCGTTTTTTTAAAAGCTTTTTCAACATTTAGAATTTGAATTCCAACAAAATATTTCTTGAGCAAGTACAACCGGTGTAACAAAATAAGAAAGTGTAATATTTTCCAAAAATCAAAATTTTGGGGCTGGTATATCAAACAGCTGGCCGACGAATGTGTAAAATAAAAGAAGTCTTGTTGACAAGGTGCAGGATATTCTTTTGTGATTTGTAACTAAAGATAATAACAGCTTTTTGATATTGAGAGTTGTACTATTATCTGAATGGGGAAAAGCTATCTCAGTGACCTGTCAATGTTTCATGGCGACAAGTTCTAACATAAACTTTCCTCAAGGTCCATGGCTGCAACGTTAGCCAAGTAAGTATGTGAACTTCCTGTCATAAGCCTGCTAGTAGCTACTTTCGTTTATGCACTCCATTTTCTTACCCAACTATCTTTAAACAATAGTTGACGTTACATCATTTGAAGAATAGTCTCTTAGCAAACGCTAAGAAGACACTTCTATCTACCCCACGTTAACTTTTAATCCCATAAGAAGTAAAATAGATGCAAGACAGCTCGAACGAAATTAAACAAACTTTTACGATAACAGCAACTCGAACGAAAGCTGTAAAAGCTGTAAAAGCTGTAAAAAGCAAGACCTTAGTCTCTACCCCTACCTCCCTCCTCTTCACTTATCATGCACACTTTAGACATCTGTTCTTTAACTGTCTCGCGACGAGATCAAAATACTGTAGAAACAGGTGCCATTTCTGTATAGTCTAGTTGGTCGACATTTAAGTATAAAGCATGCAAGGTATGGACCCGTGCGTCCACGTCGCCGGCTAAATGAATTAAAATACCCAATTTTCTCTCAAGTGAGACTAAACCTGACAATACAGTATTTGTTGCTGAAGGACTTGTCAAGGGCCAGGAACTGTTCGTTTTAATCTTCAAGACAGACCGTTTCGTGTTTTATTAATGAAAAGCTCACCTCGGACCACATTTTGCCCATGCCTGGTATAAAGCTTTCATTCTGCAACTCAGACACAAAACGTGGCATCATTTTGAACAAGTTTTCTTCCTGCGCCCTTTCAGGCTTCGAGCAATAGCATAAACGATGCTCAAGTCATGAGACGTTTCGTAATTGTCCCGTTATGGAAGGTCGCTGATCATTTTACGCTTTTTATATTTTAAAAATCACTCGACTTTTTCAAGGCCGGCCCTGCAGAGGCTTAAGATGCGATAACACGCAGCGGCAAGTAGGGACTGTTGGGTAGGCCCAGATATAGGGAAATAAACATTTCTCTCATCATTTGTGATTTGTGTGGAGTTTCAGGGCGGCTTGTTCCCCGTGTCTCTTCAGATGATGAAGCTGTCGCTGACACTTTTGGTAGCTGTCTGGCTGTCAGCCGTGAGCGGAAACGACAACAACAAAAACAACAACAACAACAACAACAACAACAACAACAACAGGAAGCCAAACATCATCTTTGTCCTAGCAGACGACTACGGCTTCAACGACATCGGTTACCATGGCTCACAGATTGCCACTCCGAATCTTGATAAGGTAAGACGTCAAATGTCCCCCCCCCCCTCCCTTTCAAACATACGCGCACACGCAAGATACTCACACTTAAACACGCATACACAATAATTAATTGCGTACATATAACCACACATAAATATGCATACACATACATGCATATACTCACACAAGAACATGCATACATACATATATGCACATACTCCCACATAAACATGCATGCACACATACCTGCACATACTCATACATACACATGCACACACACACACATACACTCACACACACACACACACACACACACACACACACACACACACACACATACACACACATGCACGACATACTCACACACTTGCACTCTGGGGTTATCGAGGAACGCACTGTGTTGAAAACAGACGGTCGACAATCTTGGCAGCTACCCTTTTGAGAACCTTGTTGTCTGTGGTTTTGTTTTGCCATTTGATGCCAAAAATTCCCCTGAGACATTCCCGTGAAAATTGTTGTTCCTTGACATGACTCTGGCACACTCTGAGGTTAATGTAAAGAAAATAACGTGGTCTCTACTGTCTCTAAAACAATACAAACTACAAAACTAAACCAAACAACCAAACAAGCAAATTATAATGAACAATAAAAAGAACCCCCCCCCCCCAAAAAAAAAAAAAACCACAACTACAAACAACAAAAAACGATGAAATGCGCGTTGAATATTCCTTTCATTACTCTGTCTCCTTCCCCAGCTGGCGTCTGATGGAGTAAAACTAGAGAACTATTATGTCCAGCCCATCTGTACACCCAC